AGAGAATGAGATGTCCCATAGGGGGTTTTGAAAAGCTCCAACATATTCCTGGAAATCAAGAAGGCCACACACATGTACAGGTTATGTGCATGCTCAGGAAAGATCTGAGAAGGCCCTAATCTCTCACATCTGACTGGCCTTCAGGCTCTGAGAAAGTAGGAAGTGATAGGAAAGGCAGAGCTGTAAACTATCAGAGCATTAAAAGTGTGCCACATCAGACACACAGACTAGGCAAGGATTAAGAAATTTACTGGCTCAAGGCAATAACAACAACCACCACCAGTCAAAATAACAATCCCAGAGAGGGTAGCAATCTGATCGCCAGAGCTGCCATATTTTATTGTTTAAAATGTCTAGTTTTTAATAAAAAATCATGAGATGTTCAAACAAACAGGAAAGTATGGCCCATTCACAAGAATAGTTGTAAGAAGAAGCCCCGACATTGGAATTACTAGACACCTTAAATCAGCTATTATAATTACATTTAAAGAATATCAAAGAAAAAAGGAAACCATGTCTAAAGACCTAAAGGAAAGTATGAGAATGGAGTTTCACTAAATATAGAATATCAATAAACAGAAAGTAAATGTAAAAAAAACCCACATAAATGTTCTAGAGTTGAAAAATACAATAAAAAATTAAAAATTCAATTCACCAGAGGGGCTCAATAGCAGATAATGTTGAATATAATTATTATCCTGATTTGATCATCACATATTGCACACAGATATTGATAATGAATTCTGTATCCCACAGATATGTACAATCACTATGTTTTGATAAATAAACTTGAAAAAAGCTCAATTGAGATTTCTAGTCTGTAGAACAGAAAAAAAAAAAAAAGAAAAGAAAAATGAATAGAGCCTAAAAGACCTATGGGATGCCATCAAGAGTACCAATATATGTATAGTGGGATTCTCAAAGGAGAGGAGGAAAGGAGCAGAGAGAATACTTAAAGAAATAATGGGCAAAAACTTCCCAAATTTGATGAAAACCATTAATCTATACATCCAACAGACTCAATGAACTACAAGTAGAATAAACTCAAAGATCCATACGTAGATACATCATAGGCAAACTGTCAAAAGCCAAAGACAGAGAGAGAATCTTGAAAGCATCAACAGAGAAGTGATGCATGAAATTAAAGGATCCTCAATAATAACAGCTGATTTTGCATCAAAAATTATGGAAACCAGAAGGCAGTGAAATAACATATTCAATGTGTTTAAAGACTGTAAACCAAGAATTCCATCTACTGCAAAACTATCCTTCAAAAACTAAAGGACAAATTAAGGTATTTCCAGATTAACCAAAAACTGAGAAAATCTGTCACTAGCACACCTGCCTAAGAAGAAATACTAAAGGGACTCCTTTGGGATGAAATGAGAGGACACTAGACATTAACTTGAATCTACATGAATAAATAAAGAACAACAATAAAGGACTAGAAAAGATAACAACATAGGCAAATATAAAAGACAGTGTAAATGTAGTTTTTGTTTGTAACTCTTTTCTTCTCCTATCTGATTCAAAAAACAACAGCTTTAAAAAAAATTTTAAAACTGTGGGGATGTGCTATAAATTATATGTGAATATAAATAAAACATAAAATACATAAATATATATAAAATATATTCAAGTATAATATATAAAATGTAAAAATAAAATATAAAATATATATGTAAAAGATGTCATTTGTATGGAAATAACACAATGTATAATATATACTAAGATCTTTTGTTGGGAAAGAGATTGCTACTTCATGTTAAGAATAATTTAGCATCATCTGGTCAAGATGGCAGAATAGACGGTTCCCAGTGTCACTCTCTCCCACAAATCGACCAAATTTACAACTATAAAAATGTAACATCAGCCAAGCTGGGGCCGCTGGAGCTCAGGGGAAGAGGAGGAGAGACCTACGGAGTTTATGAAGGCGGGAGAAACTACGATGAGAGAAAGAAAAAACTCCTCTGAGCATTTCAGGCCGCGGCTGCTTTAAGGCTTGAGCTGATGAACATATGGAACAGGAGCCGGCAGAAGCCGCAGCTGTGCCCTGCGGATGGACTTACTTGGAGGCAGCAGGGGAGACGAGGGCCTTGGCGGCCCCCAGGACAGCAAGACCACTAATAGGGTTCCCATGGACCCACCCAGGAGCGAGGAGCCAGAACAACTGACAAAAGGGAGCCATTCAGAGGCCGGTGAGTCATTGCAATGGAACAGTGCAGGGCCCATCCCACGGGAAGTGTTTGGAGCATGGGCAATGGGCAAGATGGGAACACCGAGAGAACACTGGGACACAGCAAGGACAGCTGACCTGCCCCCGAATCAGCACAGGACCACTCAGAGGAGACTGGTCAGAAATGCAGAATCGCATGGGGTGCAGTTTGAAGAAAAAACTCAGGCCCAGATCAGAGATTCTACACAACACAGATCCACCAGGTCTCTGGAGAGCCAGAAGTACCTATAAGATCAACCATTAAACCCTGAGTGGCACAAAAAAGTCTTCCCTAGGGAAACAGCAGCAAAGTAGCAATTTAAACAACCACACAGCTCAAGTACTGGTTCCCACAGTAAGGTCCCCCATGTTAGAAGCAAAGGACAAAAAATTACTTCCAGCCCAGGCACACCACCAGCACCTTGGGGCTGGCCTGGGAACCAGAGGCTTGGATCCGGGGACCAGACCCCACTCCCACTTCCAGGCAAACTTCACCAGTCCCTCAGGGCCTGCTCAGGGACCAAAGGCATGGATAAGGGACCCCCTCCCACAACCAAGCATACCATGCCAGCGCCTCAGGGTCCGCTCAGGGAACCAGGGCATGGAGAAGGGGACCGGACCCCACTCCCACAACCAGGCACACCACACCAGCGCCTCGGATCCCGCCTGGGGACCCGAGACATGGAGAAGTGGACCACACCGCACCAGTGCTTCAGGGCCTACCCAGGGACCTGGAGCATGGAGAAGGGGACTGGACCTCTCTCCCACAACCAGGCACACCAAGCCAGCACCTTGGGTCCTGCCTAGTGACCCGAGGCACGGAGCCAGGAACCGGACCCTCCTCCCACAACAAAGCACACCATGCCAGCACCTCGGGGCCCAACTGGGGACCCAAGGCAAGGAGAAGGGGACCAGACCTCTCTCCCACAACCAGGCACACTGCACCAGCACCTTGGGCACCACCTGGGTACCCAAGGCATGGTGAGGAGGACCGGACCCTCCTCCCACAACCAGGCACATGGCTCCAGCACCTCGGAGCCTACCCAGGTACCTGGGACATGGAGAAGGGGACTGGATCTCTCTCCCACAACCAGGCACACCAAGCTAGCACCTTGGGTCCCACCCAGTGATCCAAGGCATGGAGCCAGGAACTGGACCCTCCTCCCACAACAAAGCACACCATGCCAGCACCTCGCGGCCTGCCCAGGGATCCGAAGCATGAAGAAGGGGACTGGATCTCTCTCCCACAACCAGGCAAATGGCACCAGTGCCTTGGGGCCTTCCCAGGAACCAGAGGCATGGAGAAGGGGACCAAACACACCCCACAACTAGGCATACCGCCAGTGCCAAGGAGCATACCAAAAACAGCACCTCCACGTGGGTGGCCCACCACAGCCAACACAATAACCATGGCTGCTGCAAAAGCAGCTAGATGCCACAACCACCATGCAGATGGTCCGCCAACCACTGGAGTGCATTCACACAAGAAGAGTGACCAGCAGAGACAAAGAAAAGAAGAGGATGTCTCTTTCCACAAAGCCCATTTCAGAGTGACAGAAGAAGCATCTGCTCTATGATAATATTGGGGGAACTGATCACTTCTCTCAGCATTGGACAGATCATCTAGGCAACAAATTAACAGAGTAACCATTATTCTTTCAGAAGGAGAGAAGAAATCTAGGGCATTTAGAGGGGTGAGGGAGAGGGGGATGGGGAGAGATTGGACAAGGGGTATAAAGAATAATTACGATTTGTAACAATATAAAAAAATTAAAAATAAAAATAAAAAATAAAAAAAAGAATAATTTAGCATGTGATGTGTTAATGGGTTTTAATCTTTGGATCAACCATTATGTTTGAATACACTACAACTCCTAAAAGCTAAACTTTAGTCTCCTGAATTTTTTTTTTAACTTTTTATTCAGACAATTTCAAACATATACACAATGCAGGAATACAGGTCCCCAAATGGCCTTCATCAACCAAGCTCTTCCCCTTCTGGCTTGCAATTGTCAGACAGAATGTACTAATAATGCAACATACTGAAATAAGGAGGAACTGTCCACAACAGTCCAGGCTTTGTCCTCATCCCCCTAGAACAGGATGTCCTGCAATGCTTGAGCTCAGCAATCCTAATGACATACAGTATGTAAAACACAAAGCAATCTACAGAAAATAATTTACTGTAATGCAATCCTTAACAGGCATTTTTTTTTAGTTCATCTCACCCAAAATTTAAGCTTCTTCGAGCATTAGATGTTACATTCATTCTCTCTGTTGATGGACTTGGAATCACATGACGTCCTGGAGACATCTTCTTTACTTCCCAGGCCAATGATGTTGGTCTACCAATTTAAGACATATAAAAGATTAAATCAATGCAGAAAAGGGAGAAAAACCTAATCTTTTCTCTTAGTTCTTAGTGGGTAAAAACATCATCAGTTAATAATTTTTCCCCAGAGCATTGCTTACCAGAAAGTTACCATACTATCAATGAGAAATCACAGATGATGCACAGCCGAGGATTTTCTACCCACTACAACATAGCAACAGAACTCTACTTATCTCAAAAGGGTCATGAAGTTACAAAAACATGAGATATACCACCTATGATTTACAACCCTCCACCCACCCAGCTTAAAAAAAAAAAGGCAATAGTACTAATTCAGGCCGCTTGTGTCTAATGTACTATAGGAGTAAGTTTGTGGGACACAGATCGAGACAAAAAGAAAATGATGAGGGTTAAATGAAAAATACACAGGAAAATGTAAACTCTTCCTCTACTCTTAAACACCCATGAGAGTGGGAGCATAAATATTTCATTGCTCTTTGCTGGGAAATCTAAGAAATAAAACTTAAATTTTATTCCAAAACCAATCAATCAGATGACAAGATGCACAATCTCTACTAAAATGTTTTCCTTAAGCAATGTCTACTCTCTCCCGATGCCCTCAGTCAGATCCCTATCACTCCCCTGGGTCTCCCTGTATCTTACTCTCCATTCAATCTAATGATTGTGATTTTTTCACTCTCCTTAAAAAAGCAATAGTGTTAGGAAACAAAAAACTTCATTTAAAATGTTATTCAAAAATCTAAAGCTTCTGACAATTTACTACCAAATCACCTTTCAAAAAGGTTGTAATGAATTATACCACCACCAGATAAAGAATATCTATTTCTCTTCAACCTTGCCAACAATTATCTTCTTTTAAAAATTTCATTGGCAAAAGGGCATTTCATTGTCTTTGTTTTTTAAATTATATATGTTTATTATCATTACTAGTGAAGCAGAACATTTTAACCAGGGGACATTTTAACATTTGGTATCTTTGGCTCATTTTTTCCTATAGGATTTGCATCATTTTCTAATTGATTTGAGATAGTTTACTACTACAACTACTATTACTACTACTATTATGGTTATAAATCCATTGGCATCAGTGATGCAACTATTTTGCATTTTGCTTTTAAACTTTTTAATTTTTATATTGAAAGGCTTATTTTATTCCTATTAAATCAAATGTATCAATATTTTCGGGCTGGCCCGGTGGCGCACTGCTATAGTGCGCCGCTTGGGAAGCGTGGTGGCGCTCCCGCCGAGGGTTCGGATCCCACATACAGACCGGCCGCTCACTGGCTGAGCGAGGTGCGGGCGCAACACCGAGGGTTGCGATCCCGTGGCCAGTCCCGGTCCGGTACGGGCGCGACACTGAGGGTTGCGATCTGTTGCCGGTCACGAAAAAAGACAAAAAGGAAAAAAAAAACAAAACAAATGTATCAATATTTTCATTCATGGTTTCTGCCTTTGTCCTACAATGTCCTTACCTGCAACCCAAATATATAAATATTTATCTATATTTTCTTCTTGAAATTTGTACAATTTCAATTTTTACATTTAAATCTCAAGTTTAGCTAAAATGAATTTTGATGCATAATTTGAAGAATGTAAGATGGATAATGCCATCTAGAGGGAAGATTCCATATCTGGGAGCTGTCTCATGAGGGAAAGAGAAGAAATGCTGATAACTGGTTAAGGTAAAAAGAAATGCCTCCGGCATATTTTTGAACCATGTAGCCAGGACAGGAACGATAACTACCCTGTTATGCTTGGACTTGGCCTCTGAGTCTTTCTCAATACAATCTTCAACGTAGCCACCACTAGCTGAATGGAGATTGCAAGCATGAAAAATAAAAATCTAGTTACCTTTTCTTCCCTATGTATTGTTGATTAAATACATGACTCTTTTTGGATACAAGAAATAGAAAATCAAGTTAAATAAAAAATAGAAAGAAAATGGAAATAAAGATTTACTGTAAGGCTGTAAACTGCGCAAGGTCAAGGACATCCAGGGGGGTAAAAACTAGAATCAGGACTCATGAGGATTAGACCTGTAACTAGATAAGCTTTAAAGAACACCCTCAAACTCCTAAAAACCACATAATTTCTCTCATCTTTGCTTCTCTCTGTAAATCTATTCCATTTTATTTCAACCCGCTTTCCTCTGCTTATCTTCAAGGGGCAATATAGCCATCCCAAATCAGCATGATTTCTTAGCTCCTATCAATGTACCCCCAAAGATAATCACTTGTTACCAGGAGGAAGGGGTGAAATTGCTTGGTAAAAACAAAAATACCTATGCCTGACCCACCCAGAACTGTGGATGAAGCAGGCACCAAATTAATAATAATAATAATAATAATAATAATAATAATAATAATAATAATAATAAATTTTAATTGTGAGAAATGAAAATGTTAAAAGGATCAACATGTCAGTTTCTCTTGATTTGGTTCCCTGGGGATCCAGCCCTCCTGGATTTGTCTCTTGAGATTCCTTCACCCACTTGGTTCCTCCATAGGGCTGATACATTATAATGAGACAAAAGATGCTTTCTTTACTAGATGGTTCCACCCACTGCGACTGAACCGAGGTTAAATCCAAGGGAAAGATGCAGCCTAGACCTGTTTTCTCTGGGTAAAAAGGCATCCCTGGCTCATTTCACAAGGGTCCAGGTTTTAATGATAAGTTTAAACTAAATAATAAACTGTTCTTTTGCCTTTGCATATAACCAAAATAATACTAAGTCCATTTGATTAGCTATCTTTTGAATATTTATCCCTACTGCCACTACCGTAGTTTGAGTAGCCATCATCTCTATAAACTATATTGCCACAGCTCAGCATTCCCACAAATGATCTTTTAAAAACACAAATATGACATGTCACTTCCTTATTTAAAAACGCTTTATTGATCCAAAATAAAGTCTAAAGTCTTTATCGTGTCTACAGAGCTCTACACAATCCGGTCCTAGACTACTTCTCTACGCTCATCTCATGGTACTCTTCTCCTTGTTCTTTTCACCCCTGCCCTGCTAAACTCTAAATTCCTTGACTATACTGTGCTCTCTCCCACCTCCAGGCCATCATACATACTGTTACATCTATCTAAAATTACTCTTTTCTCGTTGTCTAACTAACTCCTACTTGAAAATTTTGTCTCAATTTAAATATCACCTCCTCAGGGAAGCCTTCCTGGAGTCAGCAAACTAGTTGACAGTGCTTTTTCCTACACTCCCAGAGTAATCTGTATTTCTTCTTGGTGACACTTTCCACACTTATTTAATATCGGTCTTTCCTGCTAGAAATGCACCAAGTCCATTCAGGCTACTGTAACAAAATGCCTTAGACTAGGTAATTTATAAATAACAGAAATTTATTTCTCATACCTCTGGAGGCTGGGAAGTCAAAGATCAAGGCACTGGCAGATTCCGTGTCTGGTGAGGACCCCATTCCTCATAGACAGTGCCTTCTAGCTATGTTCCCACATGTTGGAAGGGGGAGAACAGCTCAGTTTCCACCTTATTTATATGGTCACTAATCCCATGAATGAGGGTTCTGCCCTCCTGACTTAAACATCTCCTTAAGACCCCACCTCTTAATACTATCACAACTGGTGATTAAGTTTCAACACAGGATTTTGGAGGCACACCTTCAGACCATAGTATGCACTGTACACTTCACGGGAGCAAGGATTGTGTCTGTCTTCTTCACCACAATAGTCCCTGAGCCTTGCTCGCACAGCATTCAGATATGTACTGATTCCAAATGAATCTTTCTAAAGATGCTTTGATCTCTCATTATTCCCTAATCAAAAATTACCAGTTTTTGGGCCGGCCCGTGGCTCACTCGGGAGAGTGCGGTGCTGATAACACCAAGGCCCCGGGTTCGGATCCCATATAGGGATGGCCGGTTCGCTCACTGGCTGAGCGTGGTGCTGACAACACCAAGTCAAGGGTTAAGATCCCCTTACCGGTCATTTTTTTTAAAAAAAAAAAAAAAAAAAAATTACCAGTTTTTCTCAGTGCCTACTACATTAAGAAGAAACACTGTAACTTTCTCTACATTACTTTCACTTCACACGTGCCCTTCACTTACATAGCTGTTTTAATTCACTCACTTCATCTGAAAGGCCAACCGCTTGGTAAAATTCATCACATCCTTTTAACATTTTTTCTACATCCTCCATGAAATCTTTCCTAATCTATCCTCCAAAAGAGATATGTCCTTCTCTGAACACCCATGATAGTTTTTTGTACTAATAAGTTCTATTTTACCACACCTTTAGACTACAAATTCCATAAAAGAGTAAATGTGTCATATTCACCAATTAAGTTTCAATACTGAATAAAGTGTCTTGCACTGGTAGGTACCCATTAAATATGTGTTATTGAACTGAATGAGAAACATAGCACCCATCTTTCAGATTTTTACGAGTTTCAAGTCAATCTGAGGTTAAGTCAATTGCCAATTTCAATGACTGCTACCAAAACTACTGGCTTCTATAAATATAAACACCAGAGTTCACTACCTGCTTTGAGCATCTGTCTTCTCTAGCTTTTCCTGAAGTTGAATCCAGTCAATCAGTGCTTTGAAATCTCTCACGTAATTATCCAGCATCATTAGCACCTCCTAATTTAAAACAAACAAAAACCATTAAATTCCGTTCTGAGACTAAAGAGTTTCAAGAAAAAGACTATTAGAGTGAAAAACTTACAAATTAATAGTTTTTACATTATAATCCTCATTGAAGAAGCTGCATAACCTACTGGTCTAGATTTTTTTAATTCTGTTTGGTAAGATAATAAGAAATACGTGAAGTTCAGAGTATAAAAACCAAGAAATGGTATTGATATTCTTTCTCAAGACTTCCCCAAATAGCTATCCTTTTAACCTTTTGTATTATGAAGTTTAATATACAGAAAAGTGCACAAAACATAAATGTATAAATAAGCTATCACAAAGGCAAGACCCAAGTAACCATCACAAAGTACACAAAACACAATTCTACAGATGAATTATTGCAAAGCAAAGACCCAGGTAAACACCATCCATGACAAAAAAGATAACAATGCCAGTCTAAAAGTTCCCTGGTGTCCCCTCCCATTCTCTACCCCATCCCTCCTCCCAGCTAACCACTGCCTTGATTTCTAATAGTCTAATTGATCCTGTTTTGAAATGCATATAAATAAACTCACATAGTATCCATTACTTGGTGGCTTCCTTTGTCCTTTGTTTACTAGGTTCATCCATATTGCAAAATATACCAGCAATTCATTTATTGTCATTGTCCAAGGTCATTGCTGAACTGAATTCTATTGTATGAATATTTATTTACCTAATATGTTTATCAATAATTATTTATTGATATTTGTATTTATTTATTTATTTAAATATCTACTTATCCAAAATATTTATCCAATCTACTGTTGATGAATACTATGGTCATTTTGAATTTTTGGATATTACAGACTATATGCTGTTATCTATGTATAATGGTACTTCAAAAAGTTCATGGAAAAACAGAATTGAAAATAACACAAATCTTTCCATGACTTTTTTTTTTTTTTTTTTTTTTGCCTTTTTGCCTTTTTTACTGACCGGTAACGGGATCGCAACCCTCGGTGTCACGCCCATACTGGGGACCGGCAATGGGATCGCAACCCTCGATGTTGCACCCGCACCACGCTCAGCCAGTGAGCGGGAACCGGTCTCCACATGGGATCCAAACCCTTGGGGGGAGCGCCGCCGCACTCCCAAGCGACGCACTCTCTAGTGCGCCACCGGGCCAGCCCCTCCATGAACTTTTTAAAGTACCCTTGTTTATGTCTTCTGCACATATTCATGAATTTCTGGTGAGTGCAAGCCCAAGAGCAGGACTACTGAGTCACAGGGTAATTTTATTTTCCACTTTATTCCGTAACACCAAATTGTTTTCCAAAGTGGTGCCACTCCTAACAGCAGTGTATGTGAGTTTTCCTTGCTCCAAATCCTTGCCTAAACTTGATTTTGTCCATTTTAGGATTTTTGTTTGTTTTTAACCTGAGCCATTCTTGTCGGTGGGTGTGTAATATATTTCATTAGGGTTTTAATATGTATTTCTCTGATTATTAATGATTTTTGAGAACATTTGCATAAGCTTATTGGCCATTTGGATATCCTCTTTTTGTGAACTACCAGTGCAAGACTTGTCCATTTTTCTAGAGGGTTAATTGTCTTTTTCTTATTGATGCATAGGAGTTCTTTATATCTTTTTGTAAATGGGCCTTTTGTTGTTTATACAGGTTGCACATATCTACTCACCTTTTTGCTCTCCTAATGGAATGCAATCTTTTGATGTACAGAAATTCCTAATTTTAATGTAGTCTAATTTATGACTCTTTTATCTTAGGGCTGGTGCTATTTGTTTCATTTTAAACAATCTTTCCCTACAACAAGATCAGGAAGATATTCTGTAACATTATCTTTTAGAGCTTTACCATTATACCTTTTTCATTTAAACCTACAATCTATGTGGAATTGATTTTTGTGTACAGTAATAAATAGAGGTCAAGTTTTTCCCCTATAAAGATATCTAATTATCCTAGCACAAGTCATTAAAAAGTTAAATCTTTCCCTGCTACTCTGGAATGTCATCATTTGTCGTTAATCAAATATCCATAAGCATGGGTGTGTTTCTGGAGTCTCTCCTCTGTTATGCTGGTCTGTTTATCTACTCTTATGTAAATTCCAAACTTTCTTACATTGCTGTAGCTACAATATAAATCTTAAAATCCACTAGAGTAAATCATCCAGCTATAACTGTGACCTCAACGTTGTCTAGTTGATCCCAGCCCTTTGCATTTCCATATTAAGTTTAGAGACAGTTTGTCAACTTCCTAGGGGAAAAGCTGAAATTTTACTTGTAATTGCATTGATTCTGTAGATCAACTGGAAGAAAACTGGCATCTTTATAGTACTGACTTTTTTGGACAGTGAACAGATATTTATATCTTGTTCAATCAATGTCTCCCAATAATCTATTATGATTTTCTGTGTAGAGGTCCTTCACATCTTTTATTAGATTTAATATTAAGAATAAATAGTTTTAAATTTTTTCTTTTTCATTTTCTGTTACTGTCAATTTTCGTATTTTGAACTTGTATCCAGTAACTTAAACTCACTCAATACTTCTAGAAATTTCTCTTTAGATTCTTCTGGATTTTCTAAATATATACACATACAAAGTATACAGTTCAGTTGTCTTTAGCATATGCAGAGTTGTACAACTATCTAATTCCAGAACATTTTCATCACCCCCAAAAAGAAGTCACACACACACACACACACACACACACACACACACACAAAATCTTATTAATAAAGTTTAAATTGAAATATTTTGAAATAATATTTTGATATATTAGTTTAAATAAAATATATTTAAATTAATTTCACCTGTTTCTTTTTACTTTTTTATTGAGGCTACTAGAAAGTTTTAAAGTACATTATGTGGTGCACATATTTTCAGTGCCCAACTGTTCTTGACAGCCTATAGTAATTAGGCAAATCTAAAAAGATGAGATTTTGAAAAGATAAATTTCAGATTCTACTTTCTTTGATTCTGAAACAACTGTACGAGACTGGGAGAAAGGTGATCTTACCACAGGACACATATAAACAGGGCAAATCTTGGGAAATTTGCTTGATACTAAACTCAAATTAAGTAAATAGCTTGCTGAGCTAAAAACAAATATGACTTTACACTGCATCAATACCAATATAATAATATCTATGAAGAAGAAGGAGATCTAACCAACCCAGGATAAAATGAGGCAACTCTTCCGAGGTTACTGTATTTGCATTAAACATATTTTTCTAATTTTTTTATTGCTAAGCAGCCTTCCCACACCCTTTGTAGTTTTAAGGATTGGGTTCTTGTGCAGACTCAAAAGGAGGAGATACTCTTCCCCCTCCCTACACCTTGGCAGCAAAGCATAGAAGTATTACCAGGAATTAATCAGACTCACTTGTCTTAGATTTTGAACCTGAAGCAAATAAGGCAAAGATATAGAGGCATGGTACTGTTATAAAACACTACATCCTAGCCAGATATTTCTGTTGCAAAACCTCCCTTGATTTCTGCCCATTTTCTAACTCTGATTCACTGGCCTTATTGTCAATTCTGTGAAAAATCCAATATCCTCCCAATAAATTATTTGTTCTACTTAAATCAGCCAAAGTCTATTTCTGTTGCTGGCTGCCGAGAGCCTGACTGATAAGCCATTCAAAGCCTGACAATTTAAGGATGCTAGAAAGATAAAGTAGAATACAATATAACAAGTCTAACCTGTGGATCACCTTAAAACTAAGTCATAATAAAATCTACAGTAAAAACTAGATGACTAGACTGGAAAAGACTAAGAGGATGGTATGATAGCTATCTTCACGTATAAAAAAGATTGTCGTAAATGGATTATACTACTTTTACATAAAATATGGTGTTGGGCCCATTTTTAGGAGCAAACATTATCTGTGAGCCACATGGTGCCTATGGGTGGAGGATGAAGATGGCGCCTGCGGGAAGTAGGGGAGTTGTAACCCAAGATAGCTCCAAAAGGTTTTTATTGGTCCTCCATATAAAGGGTTCATGCACTCGTGAACCCTTCGTGATCACTATACTCAACAGGTTAGTACAAAATGCATGCCCGTGTGATCCTTTAATTGATTGGTTAGTTCATGGAAAGCCCCTACTTGCTTGCTTATATAAATTGCAGTGTAAGGGCAATAAAGTGGAACTGCCCTGACAGAACCCCTGCCGCGTCTGAGTGTCTCTTTCACGGGCGTACAGCAGTCCTTCCTCTCATATCTTTCTTGTGACCATGGGCCGGTTGAAAATGACAGATTTTCACCTAGCAGAGCTACCTCAAAAGAGAATTAGCTACCAATGGTAGCCAGTACTCTGTCAGAGGGTATATTCAATCACTGAGGGAATACGGTCAGAATAACTGTGTAATGGGTGAGTGGATAAGACAATTTTATTTAACAGTTCTGAGATCCTATGATTTACTCACCAAATGTTTGTTAGGAATACATTACATGTCGAAATATTGAATCTATGAAAACTCAAACCATAGGAGAAAGGCATACTATGCTACTGATAGCATGCCAGCAAATACTGCTCTTTTCCTGAGTTAATTAAGCAAAAGGTTTTTCTCTCAAGATGCCTAATGTAAATTATAATTTACAATCCCTCTTAAAGCAATTTTCTATCCTCCCCCATCTTATTTAGAAAAATGCATTCTAAAGAACTGGCTGACTAAATGAAAATATTAGCTGCAAAAGATATTAAATATGTTTTGCAGCTAATAATTCCCCAGGGAATTATTTAATCAGTGATGAAGACACACTATCTATAGTCAGCCACTTTATTTTAACAATGAAAATAGAATAATGACTGAAAATTTCCCCAAATTAATGTCAGACACCAAACCTCAGATTCAGATAGCTCAGAGAACACCAACCAGGATAAATGCTCCCCCTCAAAATACACCTAGGCATATCATTTTGAAACTACAGAAAATCAAAGAAAGAGAGAAAATTCAGAAAGAAGACAGAGGGAAAAAAACACCTTACCTATAAAGGAACACAGA